GTGACCCTCTTAGCTTAATTTACCCCATTTGTAAACGTTATAATTTAAACTCTAACCTTTACTTAAGAGATATAATGTATCATCCTAATAGATCAACTAATTATCGATTATGTGTGCTATCTTTAACTAATAGATTGAGAAAAAACGTGGGATTTTCTGCTGAATCACTTAATTAAGAAAACGATGGGACGGTTTTCTTCCAATAAAATAATCATTACCCTATTCTTTTATGGGTAAACTACACGTTTGATACCCATATTATTACTTTTATTCTGTTTAGGTCACTCAACTATTATTTTTTTAAATCATACCTAATGTTACATTTTGATTTATTTTAGTCACTTGGTCACTCAACTATCATTTTCTTAAATCATATCTAACGCTACATTTTGATTTATTTTAGTCACCCACCATTAAGAAATCGTATCATCATCATTATTTTTTTTTAAAAATATCACATCAGCAATTATGCTAATCTTTTAACAGTGAATAACTAAAATGAAATCAAATTGTAATGTTAGGTATGATTTAACCCTTAAATTATAACTCTTATTCTAAATTAATCTCTAAATATTTAAACATTCTAAATAACATATATGATATGAAATTAGGATGTTCAATAGTTTAGGCATCAATTTAGACTGAAAGCCATAGTTTGAAGATGAAGCTAGAATGTTCAAAAATTTGGGAATCAATTTAAAATAAGAGCTATAGTTCGGGGTAAAATTAAAATTGGGTCTAAAATAGAACTAAGATTAAATATTGAGAATAGTTAAAATATTTTAATTTTAAAATACAAATAATTTATTAAATATTTAAATTAAAAAATAAAGAAACAAAGGTTTGTATAACTAAAGTTTGAATCAGGAGGAGAGATGACCCTCCAAGTTTTGTTTATGTTTAATTATTTTGGTTTAGTTTTACTTTTATATGGATGAACACACTTATTTATTTATGTGGTATATAGATATAAAATAATATTACATTCATAATTATTTTAATAATGTATAAAAACAAAATCAAATTAAATATATATATATATATATATATATATATATAATTGTACAAAAAATAAAGTTTATATATAATATTATAAATCTATGCAGAATTTGTGTATAAAATAAGACTAAAAGGGAGTATTATTGAGACATCAGATCCCATACCAAAACCTTATTTTCATATTCTTTTTTCTCCAAAAGAATCTATCAAACCAAGACTTATAGAATTGAAAATTTACCATATAGAAAGTGAATAATTATGTAGTGTCGACATTACACATCACTAGTTTCAAAATGAATCCTTGAGGCTCAAGTTGGAAAAGGCGGCCGCCGCTGTCCTTTGTAAATAAACAAAGATGACATGAACATAACTGGAAAACATCATTGTCGTGAAAGAGAGGTGAGGTTTGGCGAAAGGTGGCCCGAGTTCAATGAACATACACAGCCTCTCCACTTCCCCCGAACCTTCTTCTGACGAAGCTAGTCAATTTTCATACTGACCCACGATTCCGATTCCCCTAATCGCGGGCCTTTTCTTAACTTTATTTGTCTTTTTTGTATCCCATGCCCCTCACTCTTATTTGCTTGCTCTCTTGGGAAATAAGTTTTCTGAGGCTCCCAAATTTAATTCTATTAGTTTGAAGGGATTATATTTGTTTAATTCTTTTAATATATATTATAGATTTAACTTTTAATTTTTTTTTTTAAAAAATAGTATTATTTTTATCATTAAAAGTACTCATTTGATTCTGTGAGGGTTGAATGTTAAATGAGAGACATGACATCGGTTAAGTACGCGTTGTGTGAAATATTTTAAAAGGGCCATATTTTGGGTTTTCCTAACCTGTTTACGACACACTACTAAATCCATTTGACCATCCACACGTTTTTAGGCAAGTATAACTCAAGTTTTTCTAATGAGTCCATTACCAATTGAGTTAAAAAGAGCCCACCGCATTTTGATAAAACCCATCCCATGAGACAGGGGCGGAGCTTAGTGAGGGCCTAAGAGGCTTTGGTTCTTGTTAAAATTTATATATTCGATATAATTTTAATCTAATAGTGTTTTGATTCATGTAAAAAATAAATTAAAAAATATAAGAATTTATTAAATATTTAATCAAGTGAGGATCAAACTAAAGAAGGATAACCTCGTGTTCTCAAAATTTTTGGTCTAATAATAATTTAGGTCATTGTAAGTTTAAATATTAGACAAATTATGTGTTATCTTGTGAATTTTGAGATTTTTTTTAAATATAGGGTGAATAAGGTAATAACCGTACAAAAAAACTCTTAACTATTTGACAATAAACACTCACACCCTTACATGTGCAATGCTTGAACTCGATACCTCAATGATAACAACAATCCCTTAATCATTAAGGTCGTTTGGTTTGTGTTGAATTTTGAGTTTAAATACCTAATAAATCTTTATATTTTTATAAAAAGTAAAATATTTCGGCCCCTATCAATATTTAGTTCTGGCTCCGTCTCTGCCATGAAAGCTATACACATGTGTAGAGATATTGATTCAGTCAAATTAGATAATTTGACTTTCAGTTAAATATTTTAAGGACGAAATCACGTGAGATTTGAATTTATGATAATAAAAACCCATAATTCAAATCGATTTGAGATAATATTATAATTTTATTTTATATATTTAAATATAATTATAATAATATTTTTATTATTTTTAATTAAATTTTATTTTACATATTTGATGGATCAAACATATTTTTATAACCCGAAATCGATTTCTATACTAATATTAATATAAATAAACCTTTTCAATACTTTCATTTTGAACATTAAAACCATAAAACATTGAATATATGAAAAGTAAAAGTTGAATATTATAATTCTAAATTTATTAATCTTTTTCTTGAACTTTGTAAAATTTAACGACGGGCTAACAATATGGGACATAATGAATATTTTCTTCACATGGGATGGGACCCCAAGAAAGATCTAGGGAACATGTTTACGTGTTACATTGATGATTTATTTATTTAGCAGTTTAATTAGGTATTGTTGTTTGCTTCGAGTCTCACGTAAGACATTTCATAATTTGTAGGTCTCCTACGGAAGTTGCTCTTAACTTGATGTTGGAGGCAGCCTACTATCTTACCTCCCCTTACCCCGTTACATATATGAATAATGTCAGCTAAAAAAAATGTTTACTTCTATAATATTTGAAGTTAAATTGTCGGAGTAATCATTTATGAATGAGTTGGATTTCGGTCCTAATGTCACGTGAGTTTGTCCTCTTTCTGATTTGTATATTTTTCAGTTGAATTCCCCATTGTATAAATTAATAATTCTCCATTTCTTTGTTATTTCTTTGGCACCTGAGAGGATTTGCATAAATCACTCCACTAATCATAGGACTAAAACCTCAAAGTAAATTAGAATATTCATCTAATCTCTTACTGTTTTTAATTAATTAAGCTATAATTTTTTCAAAACAATAGTTAAACTAGAATATATTTAATTAATTATAAAATACTTACCTCAATTCTTGGGAGTTAAACGGTAAATTAAATGTCATGTTTTGTATGTTTTACATTATAAAATGTATTTTTTTACTTTGATTTTTATTTAATCCAAAGTTGTTTGAGTTTTTATCATATTTAAATTATTAATAAAAAGATAAAAAGTATAAAATTAAAGACAAAAAGTTATTTTCTTTTATAGTAAAAGCAACCTTTGACTCCTTATTAGTGTGCTTATCTCGAAAAGTTATGTAAACTAAAATAGATATCCAAAATATATATTTCTTCGTTTAAATACTTAAAATATTTTTTTATCAAAATAAATACTTAAACTTAGTTTTTTGTCAAAATAAATAATTAAATTATTAATTAAATAATACTTTGAGTACTCAGATGAAAAAGTTCGATACTTATTTTAACCAAAAAAATACTTGAGTACTTAAATTAAAAAGATAATAAACCTTAAGTACTTATTTATGGTATAAATCTTAAAAAATTGTCTCAATCGAATATTTAAACACAAAATTATATAATTTACCATACTTATTGTTAAAACATTAAATTTTAATTTTCTTAAATTTTTTTATCTAACTTTAAATTTCGTTTTAAAAAATATTGTAGTCTTTATATTTTTATAATTTAATCCTAAATTTTAAAAAATATATATTATAACAAAATAGTGTATACCTATCAACGATTTTGTTAATGTTATTCTCATATGTCAACGATTTTACTAAAATTGTTCTTAATTACTAACGATTTTATTAATTATTATAGTATTTATCTTATTTCTCTAGAATTTTTATGATCTCTATTTTCATTTTTTTCAATAATGTTATTTGTCTAATTAAATATTTTATAAAATTTTAAATTTATGAAAACTGTGAGCATATATATAACAATACATATATGGATGAATAAGGGGATGGGCAGAGCAATTGATTCTCTAAAAAATTAAAATTGTTATATATTTTAAAGTTTTTCTATGCATTTTCTATTAAAAATTTATTATTGTCTCCTTAGAATTTTATAAATTCATATTCGTCCCCTAAATTCAAGCTTCTTCCTTAACATAAAATCTTGTGTTTGTACTTGATTAAATACAAATTTTATATTATTTATGGAATTAAGAACCTATAATAAAAAAAGTAAAAAATGTTACAAAATAAAAACCTATAATCGAAATTGATACGTTTTTACATATTTTTAAAAAGTCGGTGGAGTTGAAGGATATTTTGTGGAAAAGATAGGACCTCACTGCTTGAGAGATTGTTGGATATATAGAGCACATGGACATCCAAACAATCGATCTGGACCAATTTCTTGGATATTTTGTCGGCGGAAAAGTATAAAATAGAACAACGAAGAAGGCGGAAAATCTTTTCCAGTTATCCAGAATTACCAACTGCCCACGCGCGCCTGTCACATTGAGTGGTTCAGCAACCAGCAATGCCAACGCTTTTGCACATGAATTCATTCATCGCTCATCTCAATGCTCAGCGGCTCGTCCTTTTCCCTATAAAACCTAAAACTCAAGCTCAAATCTATAAAAAATATCCACAAAAGAGAAAAACAAATGAAGATCTTCTTCCTCCTTTTTCTCTTGTTTTGTTTCTTTACTTCATTCTTCAACTCTTCTTTTGCTGCCGATGTGACTTATGACCGCCGCTCTCTCATCATCGATGGCCAACGCAGGCTTCTCATTTCCGCCGCCATTCATTACCCCCGCAGCGTTCCCGGGGTCAGTCTGTTGTTTTTTTTTTTCGAATTCTTCTTTACTCTTTCTAAACTGGAACACCTTATTCGCGAGGTTTCAAATGGGATTTGATTGGTTTTTTTTTTTGTTTTTTTTAATTTCGTTGTGCTATTTCTGATGCACATTTTGCATTTTACTTAATACGATGCTTCAATTTCAATAACAGAGTCACGTGATTAATGTGATGTCTCAGTCTCTTTTACGATGCAATGATTTTCCATATTCTTCTTTTATAGTTAAAGCAATCCGCTAATTTCTTGTTTCTTTGGAATATAACATTGTGGATTTTCATAAGCTTCATCTTTAACTGTAAACTGGCAGATGTGGCCAGGGCTGGTTCAAACAGCCAAGGAAGGAGGGATTGATGTCATTGAATCTTATGTGTTTTGGAATGGACACGAGCTTTCTCCAGGAAAGGTGAGTTTTCTGAATCTATTGCAGTGGCTTGTGGAACGAATATTGCTCAAAATGTGATACCTTTTGCTGACGAAGCTCAAAGCTTCTGCTTTTTCATTGTTAATTGGCAGTACAATTTTGAAGGGCGATACGATCTAGTCAAGTTTGTAAAAATAGTTCAACAAGCTGGGATGTATATGATTCTTCGAATTGGCCCCTTTGTAGCGGCTGAATGGAATTTTGGGTGCGTTCACTTTTTAATCATATATTTAAAATGTTGATAGTTTGATTCCTGAGGTCATTGAATTAAATTAAATTGATTATATTAAAATATCTAAAAGAAATGGGTTCATTGCTTAGATTATATTAAGTTTGTTTGATACAGGGGCGTACCAGTCTGGTTGCACTATGTCAATGGAACCGTGTTTCGAACTGATAATGAGCCCTTCAAGGTGAGAAATTGGATTAGCTGGCGTGGGGAACTGTGGCCCTTGTAGTTGTCTCTATGTTTATTGTTAATGTTACATTTTTGCTTTATTGCTAACTTTTTGGTGGTTTTCTGTTGCTTAGCACTACATGCAGAATTTCACGACATTTATAGTGAACCTCATGAAGCAGGAAAAGCTTTTTGCACCTCAAGGAGGTCCAATCATCCTGGCCCAGGCAAGTACATCATTGAACTTGAAAATTTTCCTTTTTTGAAACAGCTGATGTGAGCAGTGCATTAACATGTGACCCATCCTTCTTTATTTTTCATTTTATTACTTTCCAATACATCTTTAATCATGATTCACATGTATTGAGTTTCAAAATTGTTGGATCATAGTATTTGATTGATGATGATGGATGCATTGAAATGCAATGGAGAAAATGGTGATGTAGGGAGCTAATTTGCTAACATTCATTTTCTTTAGTTCCACTTGAATACAAAAATCTATACACGGAGGGTACTCTCCTCTAATTCTGGACTTCAAGAGGTGCTATGCTATTGTTTGCAACTTTTCAATGTAAATCACATAGTTCATTTATGAAAATTTTCACAGAGATATTATTTGAGAATCTTTTATCCTTAACTTTTATGACTAAGGAACATATGTACATCTAAAGTGTCTTCCAAGATGTTGACAACTTTTACATTTTTGAAATTGTAAATTAAAGATCTGTTGTGAGTTTTAGAATCTAATCAGATAAATTTTGATTTGTTTACATATGTTCCTCATGTTAGAAGAACATCCTATTTCTCAAGATAGTAAGTTTTTTTTTGGATAAGTTCCTCATGTTATTATCCAAGAAGCAGTAGAACCACACTGCTACAATCAATACAAGCCTCAAGAAAACAAGCACCAGCCGCCTAGGAGGTGCTAATCCCCAAGCTAAACAAAGATTTCTGTTGTTAACACTATTCTTTATGACTAGTCGAATTGACTTCAACCTAACAATTTCTTTAATACAGCTAACCACACTATCAACATCTCTACTAATGCCCTTAAACTGCCTATGATTCCTTTCCTCCCATATACAATATACATATGCACACCAAGCTATTCTAAATATAAACACAAGGAGAGTTTTGCCTTTAAATCGAGAAATAGCCCAACTTAGTTCCTCGTCCCAGCACCCCACCATTCTGTTAACATTACACAACCGGGTAATCACCTCCCAAATAGCCTTTGAGAAAGGGCAACCAAAAAAGATATGGCTATGGGTCTCAGCCTCAATTCCACACAGCCTGCACTTATCATCCGCCCCGATCCCCATTCACGCAAGTCTATCAGCAATAGGCAATCTGTCTAGGATAGCCATCCAGGCTATGAGCGAGTGTTTAGGGATGTGCATAGGGAACCAGACAACCTTATGCCATTCCACCTTCTCTTTTCTCCCCCTAATCTCCTGCCACAACCAACAAGTACTAACCTTGTCCCAGTCCATGATCCCCAAGAACAGAGGCTGCACTTCCTCCCTTAACTTCAGAATTTTCCGTATACTCCAACTAAAGGAAGGCTTGCTTGCAACAGACCAGAATTCAGCTCCTTTAAAGACATATAACCTTACCCAGGCAACCCAAAGAGAGCCTTCTGCCATGAGAAGCTCTTTAACCAGTACTAAAACACAAGCTTTATTCCAGCATGCTAATCGCTTTAGGCCTAGACCCCCCTCAGATTTAGGGGTGCAAATGCTCTCCTAACTCACTCGGGCTCCCTTGGCTGGGATGTCACCCCCCTTTCAAAAAAACCTTATACAAAGCTGGTTAACTCTTTTAATCACAACAGAAGGCAGAACAAGCTGCCTACACCAGTAATTAGTAATGCTAAACAAAACTGACTTTACCAGCTGCAACCTACCTGCATAACTCAACCATCTATTGGACCAAAGTCCAAGCTTTGCTTTTATTTTTTCCACCAAACTGGCACAGTCTTTCTCTGTCAATTTCCTAGGAACAAGAGGCACCCCTAGGTATCTCACAGGTTGGCAGCCTAACTTGAAACCAGTAATTTCATGGACCAATATCCTGAGATCATCATTCACACCAGCAATAAAGATTTCAATCTTAGCAGCATTGAGCCTCAACCCTGACATCACATAGAACCTTTCCAAAACACAATTCACCCCTACAATTGAATCTAAACTCCCTTTGCAAAATATGAGTAAGTCATCTGCAAAGCATAAATGTGTTAGGTTCAGTTTTCTGCACTTAGGGTGAAACTGGAATATTTTCCCAAAAGCAGTAGCATCCAGCATTTTAGATAGGACATTCATAGCAACCACAAACAGGTAAGGGGGTCCCCCTGCCTGACTCCTCTTCTCCCTCTAAAAAACCCCACTAGATTGCTGTTTAACACAATGGAGAATCTGGAATCCATAACACAAGCTTCTATCCATCTCCTGAACAGATCAGGCAGCCCTAATCCTTTCAAAACAGAAAGAAGAAACTTCCAGATTAGTGAGTCAAAAGCCTTCTGTAGATTAGCTTTTATGGCACACCTAGGGGAAATAGAACCCCTACCATATCCTCTAACAAGCTCTTGAGCTAAGAGATTGTTGCCTTCATTTTTTCTCCCCCTCACAAAAGCTGATTGGTTAGGGGCTATCATCATAGGGAGATACTTAACCAATCTGCTCACTAAAATCTTGGTTACAGTCTTGTAAAAATCTAAACAACAAGATATGGGTCTAAAATCCATGGCTTTACAAGAATTGGGTTACTTGGGGACTAAAGCAATAGCAGTGGAGTTAAATCCAGGCAACATCTTAGAGGATTCAAAGAAGTACCTCACTGCAGCTATGAAGTCTACTCCAACAATGTCCCAGGCAGAATGAAAAAATCCAGCTGTGTATCCATCAGGGCCAGGAGCCTTATCCTTACCTTGATTCCAAATGGCCAATTTGATTTCATCATTTGTAACACCTCTAATCAAGTCAACTTTGGCACCTGCAGGCAGAGTGTAACCCAGCAGGTCCCTAAGGAAGCTGTCAGAACACCCTTGCACATTTGCATCCATAGTACCAATCTGCCTTGTGAAATGACCCACCAATTCTTCAACAATTGAGTCAAAAGTATCAAGTTTATTGCCTCTCTCATCCATCAACACTCTTATAGTATTTCTCTTCCTCTTGACAACAACTTGGGAGTGAAAAAATTTAGTGCACTGATCACCATCAAGCAGCCAATCCACTTTAGCTTTCTGTTGATAAAACAACCTTTCAGATTTTTCTAATTCAGTGAGCTCCAAAAATAACTTCTTCTCCTCTGTTACAGCATCCAAATTCCTTCCAGATAAGGAAACAACCTGCTTCTTCTCTATCTGTGCTCTTTTATCAGTAACCTTCCCAGATATATTAGAGAAGCATCTTTTATTAAACTCTTTCAGCTCAGATTTCAATCTCTTCATTTTGCAAAACAAAACTTGCATGGGGTCCCCTTGCACAGACTCTGCCCAAGACTTCCCCACTTTCTCTTGAAATCATGGTGCAATGCCCAAAAATTGAAATACTTAAAGAGCTTAGGCCTTGAAGCAAGGTTCTTATGTGAGTACCAGGCCACTGCCAAACTATGATCAGATACTCCAGGGGCTTGAAATTCCACATGGGAGTTAGGAAACCCCTCACACCAATGATCATTCACTAAAATTCTATCCAACTTCCTGGCTAAGAACCCCACTTCATGCTTATTAGACCAGGTGAACACAGGTCCAAAGAATGGGTGGTCCACCAACCCTAGGTTTGTCATACAATTCAGCAAATCCTCCATATCTGAAGATAAGTGACCATCCTCATAGCTAGAACTTTCCACAACAACAACAGTAACGTTGAAGTCACCCCCCACTATCCAAGCATTATCGCCAACCAGAGCACGAACGTCAGAAAGTTGATTCCACAGTTCTCTCCTAGTAGCCCCACTATTACTGCCATAAACAATAGAAATATAAACATTCCTACTCCCCAAACTGCCCTAAATAGTAATAGATTGGCCAGCCACTTTCAAAACAGAGAACAACAAATTCTTCTTCCAAAGAATCCAGATTCTGCCATTTTCCACACAACTATAATTCCAACAATAATTCCAATCTTTTTCAAATTGAGCAATAATGGCCAAAGCCCTATTCTCTCTGATTCTAGTTTCAAGTAGACAGAGAACCTCAACCTGCAACTTCTTAACCCGAGCCATAACATTTTTCTGCTTGTTGGGATGGTTAAATCCCCTAATGTTCCAGAAAATCACAGTCATTAAGTAGGAATAGAAATTATACCTCCCACAAGCTCACCAGTTCTCTTAATTTTATCCAGCAAATCCTTCTTCTTAGTCTTCATTTCCTACAGTATATTAGCAACACCTTGAGAAGCAAGCCTAGGCTTCCTTCCCCCTCCCTCAGCCTCCTCCATCAAAGATCCCAGCACCTCAAACTTGTTGGAGGAACCAACAACAGAAACTTTCCCTTTCTCACCTTTTTTCCCCCCTTCCTCTTCGATGTGAAGCAGGGTCAGGAGGAACTGAAACATCAACCTTAGAGCCCACACAATTATTTACCTTATCCTCAACACAACTCATCTTTAACTTTTGTTTAACTGCTGGCAGCTCACGAGCCTCCGCAACATCCATAACATTTCCAACATTCTTGTGTGAGGCATGGTCAAAAGGCAAAGAATCAACCTTAGAGGTCCCACTGCCATTAACTTTAACCTCAGCAACACTCAACTTCAAGGTCTGCCCAGTGGATAGTTGCTCCTTAGAAGTTAACTCACTAGCCTCAACATTATTCACAACAACATCTAAATTCTTAGGCACAGAGTTTTGCTCAACATTACCCTTCTCCTTGAGGACTATCCCATTAATTCCAACCACTGGCAATCCCATCTCAGTATTTCCCTCAGATGTTTCAGGGGCCTTTTCCTTAACTTTCCACACCCTCTGTCCTTCACCACCAGAAACATTACAAAACGTATCCGAGTGGCCAAAGGTTCTACACTTGGAACAGCATGAGGGAAACCAGGGAATGACAACCTTAACAGTGCAAACAGATCCATCTTGCAATTTGATCCCAATCATACGAGGCAACCGTGCACTAGCCTCTACCTCAATACAAACCTTAGCAAACTCCAGCCGCTCCTTAGAAGCCGTGACCGAGTCCATATACAAAGGAACCCCAAGGGCACTAGCAATGTAGCTAAGCCCTTTTCTAGAAAACAACTCTAATGGTACATTGAATAACTGCACCCACACATGCATTCTCTCCAAATTAAAATCAAGGCGCTGTAGGTTAGGTTCCCATTTCCTCAGCACCAATTTGTGCTGGAAGTGCCAGGGACCATTCTCGAGGACCCAGTCCTGGCTAGCACCATTAGAAAAGGAGAAAACAAAAAGATTTGAACCAGTGAGACTAACCTTGGCCGTCGATTTCCCCCACACGATATCCACCAGCTTTTGTAGTGAACCAAAATTGGGCGCCAACCCAATGAGTTGTCCCACAAGCGAGAACTTCCACTTCGAAATCCCTTCCTCGAAGACATCATTCGGCGGAGTCACCGTCGTAGAACCCTCGCAACACTCTGGAGGGAAAAATTCCAACGAGTGCTCCTCGACACCAGAAAACAGACTCCTCCGGTCCATATCCCCAAGAAAAATCACCTGGAATCCATCGCGAGAAGAACGCACAGTCCAAATCAGCAAGAACCAGAGGAAGAACCCTAAACCCCAAAACAATAGACCAGCTATCGCGAGAGAAAAAACGGTTATTCCCCTAAGTCGAAAACGGTTATCTTTAGTGAAAACAATAGTCCAAATCAGTAAGTTGGTTTATGTCATACAAATTGTATATTTTCCTTGAATAGAAGTGTGAAAACATTTAAGTGAAAATTCATGACATATTACTAAGAACAATACTGGATATCAGTCAAATTTCTAGTTATGCAGTATGAGTTGATGTACAGTGCTGATATATTGAAAGGATGACACATCTACTGTTCTGACCAATTGGAGGAAGATGAATGTTGCATTAGTTTGAGCTCATTTCTTCTCCTTTTCATTTTCTCTTCTTGCTTGAAGCTTTTCTTTTTTTGGATTCATTCAGTCTATTGATGTGCTTCCACCTCTTAGCAATTATTTTCAGAGTATATTAAACATCCTATTCCTCTTAACCGCAGGTCGAAAATGAATATGGATATTATGAATCATATTATGGAGATGGGGCAAAGCGTTATGTTTCATGGGCTGCTAAAATGGCTGTTTCTCAGAATATTGGAGTACCTTGGATAATGTGTCAGCAAGATGATGCTCCTGATCCTGTGGTGAGATTTCTTTCACTTTCACTTTTTTTAAATGACAGGTTCAGTCTTAATCTCTATTGTTCTCTACTCTCTACTCACACATGTAATATATAAATATATTTCAAAAAGCATATCATACAATTCAAACTAAACATAAATTTTCTGCCAAATCAACCCAAATGAACTATGGTTCCTTTTGTTTGCGTGTCTCCGATAAGTGCCATAACATTTTTGTATTCCTTAAAATAGTTGGTGCAGATTATTAAGAAGAATTCTTCATTGAATAGTTGTGGCATCTCTATTTGCATCTCAATGCATTCATTATATACATGCTTACTAGAGTAGCAGCTAACTATGGTTGTATTGGGTTAATTTTCAGGATCATTAAAATTCAGTGTTTTATATTCTCTATTATAACAACTTTCTGCTTCTTGCTTAAGGTCTTCCATCTTTAAAATTTTAAATTTTATCATGGTTGTTTGCACTAAAAGGAAAGTTTCATTTATTTACAATATCTATTTATCATACAAACTAACACATAGATTTCTGTGTTTCTTATATTTTGCAGATTAATACCTGCAACTCTTTTTACTGTGATCAATTCACACCTAATTCTCCAAACAAGCCAAAAATATGGACTGAAAATTGGCCTGGATGGTAACATTATAGTTTACTATTTGTTTAATTTTAATTTAGATATGAAAATGATACTGTTTTTTTCCCTGATGATATATAATGTTAAAGAAGAAACATAAAAATTTCTACCGGCAGGGGACCTTTTGATAAACACACTAAATACTTGTTTAACTGGAGCTATATTTCTTTCAAACATGTTCTTTATATTTTACTGTTGTTTCCTTCCCAATTAAAATTCTTCTCTCATTAGTTTTTCGACAAATAACCAGGAGGTGTATATATGTATATATATATAAACTGATTTTATTGCTCATTCGTCGTTGTCAAAAAATATACAATATGTTAACTTTAGAGCTAGCAAAGCTGAACTAAGCATGAAAATCCTGCTGAATCCGATTATTTGAATATGAAAAATCAACAATGCAAACTATCCAAACTTGAACTTGAAGTGACCCAGCTCAAATTAACCGAACCTGAGATGACTTGAATCTAAACAACTTGAACTTAAAACGATTAATTTTAAACTCTAACAATTTGGACCTGAAATAGCCTAAACCACGAAACTCAAATCCAAATGACCTGATTCACCTTCCCTGTTGTCACATCTAGTTAACAAATCTCATATGGTTTCTTTTCAGTTTTGCTGCAATCAGTAGTTTTCTTTTCCAGGTTTAAAACATTTGGGGCAAGAGATCCTCACAGGCCAGCAGAAGATGTTGCCTTTTCTGTTGCTCGGTTTTTCCAGAAAGGAGGAAGTGTACATAATTACTACATGGTATGCTAGTCAATCGTTAGATATCATTTTGAACAAACTTAGTTAACTTATTAGTGTTTACTTGGCCATCTTGTTCCTTAGCATATGATTTTTTTTCTGTGGTATAGTATCATGGTGGAACAAACTTTGGTCGAACATCAGGTGGACCTTTCATTACAACTAGTTATGATTATGAAGCTCCTATCGATGAGTATGGTAAGCAGTTTTACTTTTCATGGTATCTACCATTAACCGTATTCTCCATTAGACAGCCAGAGTATCTAACTATTTGGTGGATTCTGTTTTAGGGTTACCTAGGCTTCCAAAATGGGGACACCTAAAGGAACTGCATAGAGCTATAAAGTTATCTGAGCATGCATTGCTAAAGAGTGAACCAGCTACTTTGCCACTAGGTCCTTCCCTAGAGGTAAGCTTTCCCTCTTTACAACCTTTTCCTTATAACTTTCCAGATGGCAGATATATAAAACATACTGTGTTTGGTTTGCTGATATATATATATATAACTTCCTATATTTATTAATGACCCAGTTACTCTATTCCTTTCAATGACCATCATTATCTAAACAACAACTTCATGCAGGCCGATGTATATGATGATGGTTCAGGAGTATGTGCTGCCTTTCTTTCTAACCTGGATGATAAAACTGACAAGAATGTAGTGTTCCGGAACGTGTCATATCACCTGCCTGCATGGTCAGTCAGCATTCTGCCCGACTGTAAGAATGTTGCCTTTAACACGGCAAAGGTAAATTTCGATTTTTGTTTTTAATATTTCCACAAGTCAATGCTTGAACATTTCATCCATTGCCTAATGTCAACAGGTAGGTTCCCAGGCCTCTGTAATTGAAATGGTACCTGAGGAGTTGCAGCCATCAGTCGCATCACCAAGAAAAGGCTTGGAAGGTCTTGTATGGGATATTTTTGTGGAGAATGCTGGAATTTGGGGAGTGTCTGACTTCACTAAAAATGGTTTTGTGGATCATATAAATACCACTAAAGATACTACCGACTACTTGTGGCATACAACAAGGTTCGTATTCCTCTGTGCATCTCCCTATATTTTTGCCTTTTAGAGTTTAATAGGATTTGGATGACTAAAGGATTGATAAAGAAAAGGCATGCATTTCTGTAAAGTAGAAGCTCCTCATGTTGTTCCCCCATCTTTGGATTAATGATAGAAATTTGGTATTCATAGGTGTTTGAATTTACTCATTTTATCTCTTATCACTTGATTGTTTGTCTTAATGCCTCATAGTGGTTCATTGTTTCGACTAGCTTTATTTGGAACTCTGGCATTTCTAAGCTTATAGTTAGCATAGAAACAAATTGAAGTATATGATAAATTAGTGCTATGCTAATTTTTATAATTCTTTTCCCAATTAAAATCATCGTGATGTGATATTTATTGCATAACTTCAGAACCTTCTTCCATTTGAGAAATAAATTTTCTTATCAATAATATAGAAGCATTTTCTTGAAGGAATATTTGACTAAGATAGACTTCGTCTGGAATGCTAACATAACCCAAACTCAACCTTCTTATGGAGTGCTATGCCTTTAGTATTGTCTTGGGTCTATTATATTCTAATATAGCCTTGCCAGCTAATAGTATTAGTATCCTTTAACTGCAGTATAATTATTGGTGAAGGTGAAGAATTTCTGAAGAAGGCAAGCCGCCCAGTCCTTCTTATTGAGTCAAAGGGTCATGCTCTTCATGCTTTTGTGAATCAAGAACTTCAAGGTTATTCTGGCGTTCCAAAATGCCCTTTAGTTATTGGATATTGTTAATTGATTTATTTGTAAGTTATAATTTGTATGACATTTTATTTCCTCAAGTTTTCTATGGGTCTATCACGTGGAAATACTTGTAATAAATCTTAAAAACTTTGCTGACATTTTACAGGTAGTGCTTCTGGAAATGGCTCGCATTCACCCTTTAATTTTAAGAATCCAATTTCACTGAAGGCGGGAAAGAATGAAGTTGCATTGTTAAGTATGACAGTGGGCCTACAGGTTAGTTATTCTCAAAACACTTTCATGCTTGCCTGTTTGTTTAAGGATCCCAATACTTGTTTTTCTCTCTCATGATTTGATTTTGAAAGTCGGATTATTCGTGGTTTTAGAATGCAGGAGGATTATATGAATGGGTAGGAGCAGGACTAACAAGTGTTAAGATCGAGGGGCTCAACAATGGAACAATGGATTTATCTATGTCTAAGTGGACATACAAGGTATTTTTCTTTATTGAGCTTGAGCTAGAATACTCTCTTCATATTTTATTTGATTGTCAAAGTTTTGATAGTGCTACACTATCAATTGGATTAAAATTTGTGGGGATAAATAATAGTTGGTAATTGTAAGTTTTGACCATTTAGGCTTTAAATAGATTTGCTTCCAGAACTTGCTAGGATGTCCTCCATCGGTCGTGTTTTCAAATTGGTCCCGAGCTTGAAATATTTCGTCAGTCTGGCATAAATTTAGTCTTCTAATACTTGAGACTTTCAGAAGCAACCTCAACGTCAGAATTGCATTAAAGAAAAGCATTAGAATCTAATAGTAATTTCAGTTTTTCAAGGTTTTTTTCCCCAAAGTATATTTCGCAGATTTGTAGCAATGGTTGGTTTTACAAATTTAGATTCCGCTAATCTTGTGCTAAGGAAGAAAGAAACAACACAACATAGACTAGAAGCTGGGAATCGCTGAAAATGTCAAACAAAACAGACCTAGAGTTCTGGTAAAGTAGAGGTACAGTCATGGTATTTAATGCCAGGAATCTAAACTAGAGCAAGAAGGTTAGTCCTAACTAGCCAAATATCACATAGTAATGATGTGACTTGTTTTCGAGCCCTGTTGATTTTTGTTCTTCGACTCTCTGCATCACATTCAAAATGATGAAAGGCCGAGGTTGATGTTGCCATAGGTTCCGAGAATTTGTTTCCAGAGGGAGTCATCTCTAACCTTCCAAAGCCTTGGAACTTGGAAGGGCTAGAATATCATATTTAAAAGCTGTAGAGTGAAATATTCACAAATAGTTTTAGCCTTTAAAACTCAAAAAGCCTTTTCTGTCTTTGTTATGCCATATGTAGATTGGATTGCAAGGAGAACACTTGGGTATATACAAGCCAGACGGTTTGAATGGTGTAAATTGGGTGTCAACATCTGAACCACCAAAAAATCAGCCTTTGACATGGTACAAGGTAAAAAAAAGAAGAAGCCATATTTCTTGTTCAAATTTAGTTCAGGATAAATAATATTTGGTGGTAAATACTTAGTTGCTTAATTTAGCAGTGTTCAACATTGAATGAACAGAAAAGGAAAGACTTAAGTGTTTAAGCTGTTGCAGGTTGTTGTGGATCCACCATCAGGGGACGAACCAGTTGGTTTGGATATGATTCATATGGGAAAAGGTCTAGCCTGGTTAAATGGTGAAGAGATTGGAAGGTACTGGCCAATAGAAAGTTCTAAACACGAGAAGTGTGTAGACGAGTGTGACTATAGGGGAAAATTCTTCCCAGACAAATGCCTTACTGGTTGTGGAGAACCATCACAAAGATGGTAAGTCCAATAAGAGATACAAGAACGTTGACTTCAATAGTAAATGCATTACATAAATGGGCGTAGTAATACAATTTCCTTGATCATACAATTTGGTATTGAGAAAACACTCACGAAAGGATCCATGGGGTTAATATACCAAAAAAGTTATATTGGTGAAAGCAGGAAAATTTGTCAAATCGTTCAGGTTTCCAGGACTAAGAAATTTCAATTATTCGTCGGGGTTAAAATGTGCTTTTGTGATTAATCAGGTACCATGTTCCTCGTTCTTGGTTCAAGCCATCTGGGAACATTTTGGTGATCTTCGAGGAGAAAGGTGGAGACCCAACAAAAATTACATTCTCAAAACGCAAAACAGCTAGTCTCTGTTCCCATATTGCTGTGGTACCTAATGTTGGAAATGCAAAATCAGCTGCTCATCTCAAGTGCCCTAAAAATACTTTGATATCTAGTGTGAAATTCGCTAGCTTCGGGAATCCTACCGGAAGGTGTGGATCTTACACCAAAGGAGACTGCCATGATCCTAATTCAACATCGGTGGTTGTAAAGGTAAAACTTGGCCCTGTTTCAGCTATATTCTTTTGTTCATTTCCCTTATCCCAAAGGTTAAGGCTACAGCATCACCCTCAAAGCCACAAGTCACGTGCATCTAATGCCCGAAAACTTGGCAGCAGAATCTGGTGCCAAGGCAATAGTAGTTTGCAGAACAAGCATATCTGCAAATGCAATACACCATGATCTACGTGATTATTTATAGTCATCTTTGCAGAACAAGCATATCCTCATTTAGGATTAATACGTAGTACTAATTAGTATGTTCCTAATATTCTGTGCATGGCAGGCATGCGTTGGTAAAAACGAGTGTGCCATTGAACTAACAGAAGAGAACTTTGATAAGAGCATCTGTCCTGGTACTACAAAGAAACTTGCAATTGAAGCAGCTTGCAGCTAAAATTAGCACAGAACCAATACGATCGCGAATATTTTGGCTGCTCGCCGGAGAGAGGAAAACGGGAGAAGAAAAAACATTTGGCTCCATTTTCTTCGGGTACGAGCTGTGTTGTACTTTTCTTCAACGGGAAACGCCTAGTATTTTTGCCCTTAATATTATTTTTCTGTTGCCCGAGTACTTGTTGTCTGTTGAGGTGTCCATGAAGATGGAAGAGCATAGTTATGGCTGAGTTAGCTCTTATTCTGTATTCGTTTTTACTTTTAGATATGTCAACAATATTGGTTAAGCATTTATCACACGTGGGGCATAGATCCACAAAATTAAATTAATTTTATGTACTTTTATATTTGTTTAATGCGACCGTTGATTAATGTTCTGTTGGTGTGGCTGTGCGCGTTACTTTTTTAATTGCTAAATTAAAAATAATAATATCCCAATTAATATGCTATAATCTTATATTATTATTAGATACATTGTTATCATCTTAATCTTATCTTTATAGTACACTTGATCATAATGCTCTTGGATGATAGTATATATATATATATATACTGTTTTGTGAAGTTTCATAATTTTCTGTATACGAGTATAATATGAACATTACATTTTGTGTTTGATAGTAGGTAATATAAGTTGAATTTTGTAAAAAAAAAAAATAATCATCAATTTATTGAAAAAAAGTAGTACTTGGTGAAATTAACTTAAGTTCTTAGAAGCTAACAAACTAAAAGTTGGACAATAGATTTTATCACGGTGTGATAATTGACAACCGAAAGAAAAATTTTAATTTGGATAAAATGACTACAAATAATAGAGTTATTGTATTGATATTGTATTCATGATATTTTACTTTTTTTCAATAATTCTTAGGAGGAGAAAAGAGAATTTTTAATTTTAGTGAGTATTGAACTTATAATTTAAAGGAGAAAGAAAGTATCAATTAAGCGACTTTAATTACTTACTCTAGATATGTAGCTAGATATATAGTATTTAGTATTACAAATAGTGTTAAAAAGCATGAATAAATATATAATAAATAAACTGTGCCATATGCAATGTTCCTGGAACTGTGTTTCGAACTTGTAATAACCTCACACGGTGAGAAATTGGAACTCTTGGCAGCCCTAGTGATTATCTTCACTTACACTGTTAACTGTTAGTTTTGTGGCTTAGTTTTACATGCAGAAGTTCATGACATCCATAGTGAACCCCTTGAAGCAAGCGAAGCTTTTTGCAAGGCAAAGGAACTTGAACCATCATCCTGGGCAAGGCAAGTAAAAATCTGAACTTGGAAGTAACCTTTGCAGAAATTTCCCATTTCTGAACAAGCAATCTGAGCTAAGAATTAGAGTGGGTTCTAGTTTATTTCTTCTTCTTTCCATCTATTACATTCCTGTACATCTTTAATCACTATCCACATGCATGAGGTTAAAAAAATATATGGGTAATACCTTATTAGATCTCTAGCTTTAGCTTATTGATTTTGCCTTCCTTTTCTATCGTTAATTATATTTTCCCTTTGAGTTGGTATCTAGGCTGTCACTGTGCAGAACCATGGGCTTTTGTGTCTCTTCAAATTTGCAGGTTGATACCTGTAACTATTTTTACTGTGGTCAATTCAAACCTAATTCTCCAAACAAGAGACTTGGCCTGGATGGTAATCATCTAGTTTACAGCTTGTTTTAATTGTTTGATTGCAAGTTCGGCATGTGATTTGTAGTCTTTCATATAAAATGTTCTTTTGTGCTTCCTTCACTATTCATTCTCCCCCCCTCCCCCCTCTAGGGTTTTGTTTTCCTTGCATCTTCATTCTTCTACAGATAACCAAGAAAATATGGCTCTGTAGTGACCTGCATTCTTCCTTTTAAAAAAGAAGACTATTTTTTTGCTCACACGTCTTTCTCAAAAGATAATATAACAAATAAAGCTACCCTTTACTGTAATTGATAAAATAACAAATTGTGCATTGCTTAACAAATTGTGAATTGTACAAACCATAAGCAGCACCAATTTGCTAGTTAGGGTGTAAAGGCACCACTATAAGTCTTGAACCATAGGTTCGTAGCACATAATAAAATTTTCTAAGCATTGATAGTCTTAATGCTAAGTCATGCATAATATTTGATTCTTCCCAAGACAGACACTCAACATTAAGAAAGGATATTGATATATAGAAGTTGTCACAGAAAATACTAAACATGGATTAAACTAACTTAAGAGAGTAACAAGTTAATAGAAACCCTAATGCTTGACAGAAAGTACTTTATTAACACACTGGATTCCCTACTTGATATTTTTAAGAGCAGAAGTTTCTCCTTGCAGTTCAACTATCATCTGATGATTGCCTTTCCTCGTTCTCCCTTTTAACTATTTCACTGCAAAAAGCGAAAAAAAAAGTTTAGTTTTAATGAGTACCATAAACCTGGAGATAGAAACACCATTTCCTGAATTTATAAAATTGTCTGAAAGAAAAGATAAAGGAGAGGTAAGAAAGGATAATTTCTCCACTAGAAAGGATGAACTTCAAATCTAAATTTTCCATACAAAATATTAGAACTCTGAGGTACTTGATTGAATCATGTAATTTGAAACCCAATTCTCTTTTTCTCATTGTTTTTTTCCTATTCTATCAATCAACTTAAAGCCAATTGGTTATACCCTAAACAAAAAAATGAAAAAAATTATAATAAAACAAGATTAACATCCAATTGGTAGCTTTAATTCCAAAGCATGAAAAAATTGGTGAAATTAACTAGTCACCAGTCAAGCTATCTAAATAGCTTTTCCTCCAAAAGAAAAGGTTTAAAATTACAACTAATAACAAAGCTAATTAACATCATCATTCTCTCATTTTGTAGTTGAAATTGAAGAAAACTTCATTGCCTGGCAGATCAAGCAAGATCTAGATTCAGGTATAAACTTTTATGAAAATACAAGACTAATGAAAAAAAATCACAAACATATATACATTATCTCCCTTTAAAATTTCAATTAAATTAATATCAAATTTCGCACCCAAAAATGCAATCAAAGAAGAAGAAGAAAATCAAGCAAATTGAGGCCAAATTAATGCTAAACCAACAATAAAGAGAAGTGGAAAAAAAAAAGTACCGAAGCAAATGAGTGAAAGTGGCCACAGTAGTGTGGTCAGCTTGTTCGGAAGCCTTTACAATTTGGAACATGATAGCCAACTTGATTTGGGTTCTAGCAGTTTGTTGGACAATGATTCTAGTTTCTTTCTTGAATTCCTCATATTCATTTGCAACGCCTTCAAATTTTTCCCTCGCCAGTCGCTGTTCTTCTCTTATATTCTGTTGTTCCGCGCTGATCTCCTCCATATCTGCTCCCAGCTTGTCGTATTTCTCTTGCATGTTCTTGAGTCCACTTTTGTGTTTCTTTACCTGCACCAAACATCAATAAACCTTCAAAATTCTGTAAAACCTTACCTCAAAACATTGATTTATAAATAAAAATGAAGATTGCGGAAGATGAATGGAATTACATTCTTCAATTTAGACTTGAAACGTTTGTTATTACGACGACAAATACCACGAATGCAGAAGGGAGCCATTGTATTTTACCCTAATTCCGATTGCTTACGGTCAGAGAATCGAGTCTTTATCTACAACGAGAATTCATAGACGAAAGTCATAGAAATAGATCGCGCGATTCTCTTAGGATCGTCCCAAGAGATCGCGAGGAATAGCGTTGTTTTTTACCCTCTCTTTTTATCTTCCCTTTTTATTATTATTATTTTGATGTGTTATTGTAACGTTTTATTGATTGTTTTAATTTCTTAGTTTTTCATTTACAGCCATTACATGAAAAACCCCAAATGGCAAAATAATGTTTCTGAAAAAGTATTAAGTTCGGGCGGTACGGTGAATCGCTCTGCAATTTCGCTCGCCTCGGGCTTCTCAATACGTGTATGTCACGCTTTCTTTTCATAAATTGCACTTTTGGCCCTAGGTTTTGATAATTATCATCTCAGTATCCCTGGTTCTACTATTTTGTGATATTGTCCTAGATGCTAAATTTAAAATTACGAAATAATTTAAACTTCGAACGAGCTTACATAAAATTTTTATTATTATGATTTATGTGTGAGTGAATAAAGGTTCTACATAAAAACTTCTAATTATTTTTTAATGAAAAAACCGTTAATGTTTTTGTCATTTTTCTTTTAATTTCTTTTATATTTTTTGTCATTAATAATTATATTAGTAGTCAATTGTTAACTTTTTTAGTTTAATAGATTTTGAAATTCTTTGAAAAAATTAAAAAAAATCAATATGAACTTTGACGTTTTTATACTCAATTTGTAACTGAAATAAAATATATATAATTTAATTATTTAATTAATAAAATTAAACGTTGACAATCATGATATTAACATAACAATTATGCTAAATGATGACATAAAAAGTAAGGTAAACTAGATTTCCCCCCTCAAATTCAATGTCTAAATTATTTTTTTAAAGAATTCCAGAGTAAATGTCAGAAAAGAAGAATAAGTTGAATGGTTAAGAGAAAATAAATATTTTATTTTCATTTAATGTTAAATTTAATTTGTAAATATAATAATTTTTTATTAAAAATAATTTTTATTAAATTAAAATAACACATATTACATTTTTAAGTTTTATTGGTTCATGATTTTTAATTAAAAATATCAGGTGCCATGTTGAATTGGTTCGTATCAAATTTCTTATTTAATAAAAAGATATTGTATATCACATTTTTATATTATTATTTTTCTTGATTTAAGGTTTTTAAAGTATAACGATAAAAATATCTTTCAATGTTTGTATAATAATCATTTTACTCCTATTTTTAGGGAGTATTTTAGTTTTTGATGTTTTATTTATTTTTATCAAAATAATCACTATCATATGAATACCATTAGTTGACTAATATTCAACATATGTTGCTACATGATATTTTTATATATTTAATTATTAACGTGACATATGCTACATCATTTAAAATAATAATATTATATGTATCACATTTTCTAAAGTAACGAAGTGACATGTTATATCATATAAAATGCATAGTATGTACTACTTCAACAATTGGTCACATAAAATTATTACGTCCGTAATATGTGTTAGCCATTAATCAATTAACGGTTTCCATCGAATATATTTTGATAAAAAAAAATTAGCATTTATGTAAATACCGCATAAAATTATCATTTATGCAAATACTGAAATAATTTTATCATTATATTTTTTAACATTTTAAGATGATTTTACATTTCGAGGTGATATAGATAATAAATATAGTTTAAGGTATTTCTGATTGGAAAATTAAGTATTAATTTGAGAAAATAAGAGGGAAAATGTATCAATAAAATGATTTGAAATTTGTATGACTGTACTTCTATGTCTAATTTTTATGTACGTACATATATAAAGATAAATCATGGATATTTGATGAGGAAATCATGTTTTAATTTTAAAATATTGCTTGCAATAAGTCGACTAAAATCATTAAGGGCAAAATCACAAAATATTTAAACTAAAGGGGCAACAATGTATTTTGTGTAAAGAAAGCGTGAGTCTCACGCCTTGTTACCCCCACGCAAAAATAAAAGAGTATGTATAAAGGACACGCGTCAAAATTCTAAAGAAAGGAGTCAAATAGTATTGTTTATCACAACAACTCGCGACACTCGAGAGTTAAATGAGATAGTGTCGCGCGATGTCTATGATTCGTTTCTATGAACTTTTATTATAAATAAATCAGATTCTGGGTCTCTGATTACAAGCAATCGGAATCAGAATTAGGGCAAAAAGGTAGAAAAAGGCTATGGCTCCCTTCTGTGTTCGTGGTCGTTTTCATCCCAATAGCAAAATAATCAAGTCTCTACCGAAGAATGTAATCCATTTATCTCCCTTAATCTTGAATTTTTTATTGATGAGTTAATTTTGTTGAAATCTGAACGCTTATCGATGTTGTTGAAGGTGAAGAAGCATAAAAAGGGTGGAATGAAGAACACGCAAGAGAAAATCGAGAGTCTGAAAGCAGAAATGGAAGAAATCGGCGTGGAACAACAAAATGTAAGAGAAGCACAGCAACAAGTGAGGGAGAAATTTGAATGTGTTGAGAATGAGTGTGAGAAATTGAAGAGAGAAACCAGAATGATCATCCAGCAAACTGCTAGGACCCAAATCAAATTGGCTCTCATGTTCCGAATCGTAAAAGCTTCCGAGCAGGCTGATCACGCCACTGTTGCCACTCTCACCCACATGCTTCGGTATTTATTTCCCTCAATTTGGCTTATAGAATAGAAAGAAACTAGAAGAAGAAAGAGAATTTGATACATAGTTACTTGATTCAATCAACTATGGTTTGTTGAAATGATTCGGATATCCTTAATGCATATATCTTTGTTTCCCCAGTGAAATAATAGAAGAAGAGAACAAGGAAAGGTAAGCATTCGGTGACAGATGAACTGTAAGGGGAAACTTCGTATGCTCCTAAAAATGTTCGGTTGGGTATCCAGAGTTCTAGTATTTAAGCATTATGGTTTATAAAACTATGTCTACTCTCTTTAATTTATTCAATGTTTTCGGAGGCAACCTCTGTGCTGAAATCCTTTCGTTTTGTTTGAGGATGAATGTTAAAACAATGAAACCTTGGAACCTGCAATGCATTTTGAAAATTTGATTATGTGCTTTAAATCTATGATTTTACTGGAATATTTCGTGTGTGCTAGTTTTGTTTTAAATGTTGCTGGCAGTAAATCGAAATAAAAAAAATGATAAAATCACAAAATATTAGTATTTGGGACAATTAATAGACAATACTCAAAATAAAACGCAGCATGAATTTAAACCTAAAATCTTAATAATGGAAATATTAAACCGAGATTGTACGAGTGCTTGGACACAACGGAATCAAATCTCCACATATTCAGAGACTTTATGATTGCTCCGACAGTGTGGCAAGGGCTAATTAAACCGAGCTTGGTTGCAGAATTTTTCCAATTACCTTTGCAGGTTTGGGTTGAACGGAATCTTTTGCAGTAGACATATTTCCCTATTAATCCTACTGAACGGGGTTTATTATTTGGATCTGTCATTTGGTGCCTTTGGAATCGCAGTAATCTGATTTTGTTCGACGAGACTTATGGTGTTGAAGAAAACATTCTTTCACAAAGCAAAGAGCTCCATGAAGCAGCTCGGATGATTTTGACACCAAAGAGCTGGATCCCTCATGCCCGTGTAACTGAGGCTGATCGAAACATCCCTTGGCAGTGCCCGAATGCATGTTCCTTCAGGATTAATGTGGATAGTGCGCGTCGAAACGCTGATGGATTTGCGACGTGTGGAGGAGTTATCTGTGATCACGAGGGATGATGGATTAGGGGCATCTCTAAAATTATTGCGAAGTGCTCGATTCTTGATGCGGAATTATGAGAAATATTTGAGAGACTTTCCCTAGCTTGGAGTATGGGTTTGCGCACGGTGATTGTGGAGTCGGATGGTAAGGAAGCTCTAGCTGAGATTGTTGCAACTCCGGGTTTGAGATACGTTTCTTCACTGATTATTCATATCGTTAATATGGTTCATAGTTGATGGGACGCAAGTTTTGTCTTTTCGTCTCGAGAGAAACAAGTTAGCAGACTGCAAAGCTTGCCTTGCATGGACTCTACCAGTTGGTTTGCATACCTTTAATGAGCCTCATTTGACTGTTGTTTCCGATTTCCGATATGCTTGTCTCTCCGAAATGTAACTGCCTAAGCATTGTACTTTCCCTCTCCATTAAAATAAAAATAAAAGCATTAGAATTAGAATCTTAAAGAAGTCTTAAGAAAGGAAAGGAAAGAAAAGAAAACTTTCAATTTGTTAATTCCCTTTGTGTTCACTTTCTATTTGAGTTAGTTTTACGTATGAAAAATCTTCCAGTTTACGATACTTTTTAACCACCCTTAATTAGAAGATCCTCACCATCTTCAATTCTCCAAACTTGCTTCGTTAGAGAGTAATAATATTCTAGCTATTCTCCTACTTAATTAATCCTCGTTGATTACTTAATTACTCACTGTTAAATGCTCAACTTGTAGAAATTGATTTAATGAACTTGGACTAAAATTTTGCATTGAATATGTTGCGTTGTTTCGGTTCTTTAAGCTATGAGCAACAACTCTGGGTTCTTCTATTTAAATATAATTTTCTTTAGTCAATCGAGAATTCATTAAATATACCTTATTGCATTTATTCAATATAATTTTGTAATTTTTTTCATGAGACCATCTGTTATTTCATTATTACTATCAATGTTTTACTAATAGTCGGTGGCCACTTCATAAAAAATACAAAACTCATGTTCTTTGTTAAAAAATAAGATTTCTGGGTAGGGTTTGCTCTGCAATTATAGGAGTTAAAGATAACTCCAAATTCACGTTAGGGTTTACATGTCTAGCCCCTCATAACTGGTGGCAATGCCTGCAAGGGTTCCCGTACTAACAACACTAGAACGCCATGATTCTACGGTGGCAATCCAACAACAAACTGTGAGTAAAAAAGTTAAAATTGTTAAGAGAACAAAGAATCGGGGACCAGTAGCACGATAATAGAGAATATAGAGTTAATGGAAGAGGATGGGACGAAACATGGAAAAGCACCAGGATCACTTGAAGGAAATGACAAATATCCTTTATCTTATGCAGCAACTGTGGAATAGGAGGAAGCATTGTAGAGACAGAAGACATAGGCAATGGAAATTAAAGGAGATATAGCTATTCACCGAATCAAATTGTATCCCGTTATCAAGTTTACAAATCGGGTGCACAAAGCAATAGACTACAACATGAGAAAGACGGTCATTGGGCAAAACAATCAGATATAGGGACCTATGGAATAGAAGTAATACACTTCCGCAGCCCCAGAATAAATTACAACTAATCGAAATTGATAACGACTACTACTTTGTCAAATTCACACAAGAAAATAACTACACGAAGGACTTAGCTGAAGGTTCATAGACTTTGTTTGAGAACTATTTAACGGTTTAACCACGACGTCAGTTCTCTACTGCAGAAGAACACCCTTCATGTTGAAAGTTGGACTTAATAATGCACCGAAAGTTGCATTAATAAGTTGGCAGCAATAGTTGAAAGTTGACAGCATGATTTTGTTGAAATTAGCGAGAGAAAATTATCAAATTTAGTCTCTGTACTTTAGGATATTTATAAGATTAGTCATTAAGCTTCAACTATAAATACCCTAACCCATTTAATTTCAAAATCATCCCAAATCATTTATTTCTCCCAATACTAAAGAATTTATAGAGTTTTTTCTTGAGAGTAATTTTTAGGTTGTGAGTGTTTTTTATAAACACCTGTAAATTTTCTCTCTTTAGTAAAAGATCTGCAGTAGTCTGGAGACGTAGGCATAATTGGCCAAACTCCATTATCAATTTCAGGTATTATTATTCGCTTTTATTTCGCATTCTCACTAATATAGTTATAGAGAAATTACTCGTTTAATTTCCAAACAACTGGTATCAGAGTTTTTGATGGTGAATTTTGTCATTTTTTCTACGAGATTACTATTCACATGAATAGTAAAATTCGTGAATAGTAAATTTCATGAATAGTAAAATCTAATCGTCAATACGAGTTTATTGACATAGGTGTTCTAATACATGGTGGTTCGTAGGAATTGTCAGAAACAATACAAAAGAAGCCAGATTCGAGTGGGAGCGATGACTACAGACGAAGGGAATGTGAAAATTAAGAAGTTCGATGGTTCGAACTTTGGCTTTTGGAAGATGCATATTGAAGATTTTCTGTAAAAAAACAAACTATATTAAATTCTTTCAGCAAAGCAACCAGATGGCATGAAGGATGAAGACTGAGCTCCTCTCGACAGACAAGCCCTCGGAGTTATTTGACTGATGTTAACTCGCAATGTTGCTTTCAACATAGCAAAGGAAAAGACCACAACGAGTCTTATGGCGGCTCTCTCCAGTATGTATGAGAAGCCATCAGCCTCAAACAAAGTTCACTTGATGAGACGATTATTCAATTTACGGATGGCGGAAGGGGCATCAGTGGCTCAACACCTAAATGAACTCAACACAATCACAACCTAGTTGAGTTTCGTGGAAATTGAATTTGATGATGAAGTTCGAGCTTTAATTATCTTATCATCTCTACCAGACAGTTGGAATCCTACTGTTACAGCAGTCAACAACTCGTCGGGAAACAATAAATTGAAATTCGACGATGTTAGAAATCTGGTATTAAGTGAAGAAATTCGACGGAGAGAATCGGGTGAAACATCAAGCTCCTTAGCCTTGCACACGAAGTCTAGAGGGAAAACTTCAGAAAGAAATCCATATCGTAGCAGATCGAAATCTAGAAGGGGAAAATCAAGAATGGGAAATAAAGATTTTAACTATTATAATTACGGCAAGAAGAGTCACTTTAAAAGAGATTACCGAGCACCAAAGAAAGATACCGACACACAGTAATCTACCAACATGATAAAGGAAACAAGTGATGCCATGATTCTAAGCGTCAACAGTCCGATTGAATCATGGATCTTGGATTCAGGGGCATCTTTCCACGCCACCCCATGCCAAGAAATCATGGAGAACTATGTCAGTGGTGATTTTCGGAAGGTTCATCTAGCTGATGATGAAACCTTGAAGATCGTCGGAAAAGGAGACATCTGATTAATGATGCCAAACCAGACCACCTGGAAGCTGAAAGGAGTGAGACATATTCCTGGCCTTAAAAAAATTTGATTTCTGTTGGACAACTTGATGGACAAGGATATATTATAACTTTTTAGGCTGTGAATGGAAGATTACCAAATGAGCACTCATCATTGGTCGTGATAAAAAAACTATTACTCTCTATGTAACCTCAAATTTAGAGAATATCATTGCAGTAGCAGATGCTGATGGAAATTCAAACCTATGGCACCAAAGGCTTGGCCATATGAGCGAGAAAGGGATGAAGATACTTTTTTCAAAAGGGAAGCTGCCGGATTTAAAGAGTATAGATGTCGGACTATGTGAGGATTGCATCTTTGACAAACAAAAGAAAGTCAGTTTTGCAAAGATTGACAAAACACCCAAGGCTGAAAAATTAGAGTTGGTTCATACTGATGTATGAGGACCATCTCCAGTTCCATCTCTTGCGGGCTCACTATATTATGTCACATTCATTGATGATTCTACAAGGGAGGTGTGTGTTTATTTTTTGAAGAAGAAATCAAAAGTCTTTGATACCTTCAGAAAATGAAAGGCCATGGTGGAAAATGAGACTAGTTTGAAAGTTAAGCGGTTGAGGTCTGATAATGGAAAAAAGTACATAAATAGTAGATTAAGAGAATTTTACGCAAACAATGGGATGAAGATGGAGAAAACAGTTCCCATGACACCGCAGTAGAATGGCGTAGCAGAGCGCATGAAGAGAACTCTGAATGAACAGAAGCATGAGGATACATGTCGGCTTGCCCAAATTGTTAT